AAAAAAAAAAGAGTTTGCTACCTACTGAGGATAGCGAGTGGTGCCCATAGTTCATATGAGCACACCTGATATTTGCATATTGCAAAAGTGACAATAGCTGTCAATATTGGAAAGAAGGGAATTACATACCTGTAATCATTGCAGTTCACAGGAAGCCTGCTCAGCCTATTGAGCGTTCTCTATTCCTAACTTGTTTCCCAGACTCGGAGCAGCTGTATCTTTGTTCTCCAAATATCACCCATTGTATGGCAGCTCTCTTTTAAACAGTATGGCGGTGAACACAACAGGCTGTCCCTATTCCTGTGGCACTTCACTTTAGCAGGGTGGTAGACAAGACGCACACAAGGAGTTAGCCCAGTAAGCCTTTGGGGGGCTGGGAGCAGGGTAGGTGCCAGGAGGTGGGTGCTGAGGGGCTCAGAGAGAAGGGGAGAAGTTGCGGGAGAAGGGGTCGAGATCAGCTCCTGATGCCAGAAAGAGTTGAGGCTGTGGGAGCAGGAGAGGTGCAGGAGGCAGTCAGGGTCTGTAAAGCCAGTGAAGAGCTTGCAATGCAATCCAGATCTGATTGGAAGCCCTGAAAGCAGGAACTGATACTGAAAGATCCCACTTAAAGGCCTTAGAGAAATGATGTAAAGTTGGAAAAAGCAGCTCAGCATCTGCCCTTATTTCAGGTTCTCTTTTGTATTGTTGAGACAGAGTCTTGCTTGGTAGTGGAGCTTGGCCTTGAATTCACTATGATATAATGTAGGCTGGCCTCGAACTCCTGACAGTCCTCCTATCTCCCACGTGCTAGGCTTACAGGCACACACCACCCACGAGGCTAATCTCTTAAAGCAACTGCATCTCTATTTAAAGAGTTTTTGTTTGTTTGCTTTTTAGGTAATCATTTAACTCTATAGGAAGCAATGTGTGGGCACACTTGCCTATAATTTCAGCACTCTGAGAGCCTGAGGCAGGAGGATCACAAATTCAGGCCCCCTCAGTACCAAAAAAACAGAACAAAACAAAAAAAAGATAAAATATTTGGGGCTGGGGAGATGGCTCAGTAGAATAAGTGCTTGCCTGGCAAGTGCAAGGGCCTGAGTTCAATCCCCGGTTACACAAAAAAAATAAAATAAAATAAAAATTCAGGCCCACTTTGGGCAACTTGGCTACTTCATAAGATCCTATCCCAAAATACAAAAACAGGTCTGGCAGTGTAGCTCAGTGTGAAGACCATGGGTTCAGTCCCCAGTACCAGAAATACCAACCGGTAAATAAGGTTGATAGTGTAAAAAAATTGTAATCTTTTAGTCAGATGTGGAA